CGTGGTGCAGACAATTCAAAGTTGTGCCTGGATGAAAACAAGCATGCAAGGAAGATGCAGAACTCGCCCCACTAGACTCTTCTATCAATTCCAGTGCCTGGAACTCATCTCTGTTGCTTTTTACCATTTGTAAATTAAGTTTAAATAAAAAAAAAAGAGAAAAGTTTCAGATTTTGGTGCAGGTTGAATATGAATATAGTGATTTTTTTGAGAGAATTTCATAAGAAACTCCTTTACAGTTCAGTGATCCTTCCTCCTGTAGCCTTTCCTTAGTTAACCAGGCAGTATTCCCAGCACTGGTACATTCAGCTCTCTCCTGACACAGGATTGCTGTGCTGTATCACCCTCAGGTACCTCCTGACATACTCCAAGCCACACTCATGCAGCTCTTTTCAGCCTAAGAACAGATCTCAAACTTCAGCTCTGCTTGCAAAGTGCACTTCAGCCAAATCAAAGTAAAGCTTAAAAAGGTCAATGTATAATAGGAAACAAAATTCTCCTGAAAAGCAGATAAGCTGGAAAAACGTCCTGCTATCTCTGTATTGCTCACCTTGAGCTGGACAGTTATGGCATCTTATGACAACTGACAAACTGAATTATGTCAAATATGTTACTCACTGTTTGGTTTTATGGAGCTGAACCTTATTCTACTGATAATAATCAGAAGTGAAATAACTTTGCAGATAACTTATATCCCCAGGAGAATGTTCTGAAATACATTAGGAGTAATAACTGTATTTACTCTTCTGCTGTGAAACATATTTATGTCAACAAATTTTAGCAAGTCACATTCAAAACAATTCCTTAAACATATCTTTTAAAAATAAATGATTTTATAATTATTTATATAGGTAAATATTTTGCCACTGAAATGAAGATATGTAGTCATGGAAGAGTTATTTCATGCCTATCCTGTCCTTCCCCCCCCCCCAAGTCTTTTCCAATGAAAAAAGTCTGCTAGAAAGACATTGCCTATCAAGAATAGTTCACTTGATGTGTCAGTCACCAACGAGCAGAAGTCAGTAAATAGATCAACATAAAAGACATCTCTTAATTATTTTAAAATTAAAGCTAGAAAGGACCTTCAGATTAGGCAAAGCAGAAGAAATTGGAAACACAAGCCTCCATCCTGCGCTGTGCAGACACAGGACCCGTGGAGCGGGAGAGCTGGGAAGGGGAAGCCCGAGCAGCACGAACGGAGCCCGATGGATGAGCCTGGAGCGCCGTCAGCCTCCTCCGCGGCGGGGCCGGGGCAGGGCAGGAACGAGCCGGGCGGTCCCGGGCAGCCCCGCTCCCGCTGCTGGCGGCGCAGCCAGCGCGGCTCCGGCAGGGAATGACGGCGCGGGCGGACGGTCCCTCTCTTCCATCCCTGCGGCGGGAGAGAACCTGTTGCTACAACCCGTGCAGGGACCCCTCCCGTCCCTCCCGCCGCGCTCCCCGCTCCGGGGGCTCCCGTCTCGCGTATCCCCGTCCCGAGCATCCCCGTCCCGAGCATCCCCATCCCTAGCATCGCCGTCCAGCGCACCCGCGTCCCGCACCCCCCCGGCCGGGCCGTGCGATGCCCTCGGCCCCGCGGCCCCGCGCCGCTCCTGGGAGAAAAGTTCCCCGGAAACTTGCCTGCGAGTTGCCCGCTCGCCGGGCACGGGCAGCGAGCGCGGCCGCCCCGGGGCTAGGTCGGCACCGGCCGCGCTACCGCGCTGCGCCTCCGCTGCGCCGGGCGGGGCGGGCGGCGGGGCCGGGAGCGGCGGCGGCAGCGGTGGCGGTGGCGGGGCGGGCGGCCCGGGCGGGCACCGGCGCAGCCCCGGCCCCCTGCATGGCGAGGAACGGCCGCGGAACCCGCAGCTCCGCACGGACCGGCCGGCGGGGCCGGGGGAGGAGGAGGAGGAGCTCCCGGCGCCGAGGAGGAGCCCCGGGCCGGGCCGGGAGGAGCCCCCGCCGCCCCGGCCCCGCTCGGGGAGCCCCGGCTGCGCACAGGTGGCGTCCCGGGCTGGGCAGCCTCGCGAAAACTTCTGCGGCTTCGCCCGTTCCGGGGAAATTGTGATTGCTGGTTGAGGAAAGGGGATTGCAGGGGTCCAGTAAAGCATAAATCGTGTCACGGCTCTCCCCCCGATCCACAGCAGTGGCTCCAGGAGAGCCAAACCTGTGCTTTATTCTAGAGGCACCCTTGCAGCGTCCAGCGGCAATTAACACCCTGATTCATTGTCAGAGATTTGGGGAGTATTCCGTATCTCTACTTTTTAATGAAATTTGTTTGTCGTCCGGGTGGAAGTTACTCTGTGTGGATTTAAGGCAGTGAGTTAAATCTTGGTGCCAGGGTTAAGGAGTCACCAGCAGCTCAAGGTCTGTCACACACTATAAAGCACGAACTATTCCCATCCCGTTTGCTGTTGTCCCCTGTGGTTGCGGAGACCGCGATACTTTTGGGATCTGATTTCTCTTCCCTGCCGAGGCACTGCTACTGGATGGAATTTCCTGCGGTGATCTGCACCTCCGTGCAGGACGGTGACAGTCACCTCTAAGCTCGGTGGGGCGAGGGGTGTCTCTCACTGTGGGCATTGTGCACCTCACCCGGAGCACTGCGGGGTCTCATTTCAGGCAAGGTCCTTTGTTGCCATGGCAATACAAATGAAAAATCTATACTATGGTAATTTTAGCAAAATACCTCTTTTTTTTTTTTTCCTAAACTAAATTGGACTGTGGTTCAGAATCGTGTGGGCACACAGAAACAGTCGTGCTGATATTCCTGAGCCATAGCTGTTGAACAGCAGTTGTGTAGAGGGCTGTCAGCGATGGGCTGTCAGCTTGGGCTGCTTCTCCCTGATATTGCATATGATTTGTACTTGACTTTAGAAAGGTTTCTTAGCAGGCTCTCAGCCTTTATCTGCAGCAGGGAGGTGACTGGTTTTACTGACCACAGTGCCATGAACGAGAGTTTTGGCTTTTGTGTGACAGTCTGTAATAATCTTGTTGATGAAAGCCTGTGTTTAAAAGTCTTTGCTGTCGAAGAGGAAGGACATATCAAATAGGTTCTCCCAGGGAATAATCTGGGAACAGTTTTGGTCAGTTTTCTGTAACAACTTGGGTGATAGAATGGAGGGCACTTTTACTACATTTGCTGTGACTCCAGCACGGAGTGCAGGGCTGAGGTTTAAAATGACTCTGATAACACTGCAGAGCCTGTCCGAACTCCACACATTGAAATTCTAGGAGAAAGAATTCTGTAGTGTGCCACAAGGAAGGGATATCCCATGTCAGACGAGGGCTATTAGTTAGGCAAGAACACTGCAGAGGAGAATCTCGGCACTGGAGCGGCTCGCAGCCTGAGCAGTGCTGCAGAGCAGCCGTGCTGCTCCGAGCTCTCGTAGCAGGAGGATCAGCTGTAAGACATCAGAGGGCGTTATTTCTGTTCCATTTAGCACCAGCCAGGCTTGGCTGGAGCACTCTATCCAGTTTCAAGCATTACACTCACTCTTAAAGAAAGATGTAGGCAAACCACATAGGAGAATAGCAGCCGAAAGTGTAAGAGGCTTAGAAATGTAAGCTGTGAGGAAAGCTGGAATTTTTTATTTCATCTGGAAAGAAAACACAATATAAGGACATGGAAACTGCCTTCAAACGTATAAACACATTTATAAAGATGACAGTAAACACTTATTCTGTGACCACAACCAACGGGATAAAAAGCAATTTACTAAAGTGCATTAGGGAGGTTACTTTAGATATCAGGAGGAAAAAACAAACAAACAAGACAAAACGATTATCGTGCTAGTAGCTGGAATCTCGGGAGGCTGTAAATCTGTTCAGTGAAGATTTAAAGAACAGATTAGACAGGCAGCTCTCAGGACTGGCTGTGGCATGCCTGGGGCAGGGAAGACTCCCAGTGACCTTCATTTACCAGCCCACATTTCACTGATTCCTGGTTGCCCATCAGGATACACGGATCCTTCCAGGAAGAGGCACAAAAAGAGAACTCATTACTACCGCATATGATTAATGCAGGGTTTTTTACAAAATCACACCTGTTTGGATCAGGATCTCATTACCACCTGGAGACCAAGAGCAGCTCATGGAGACACACAGGGAACAGAACTATCCATGGCAAGCAAGCAGTTTTCAAATCCAGCTTTGAGCAATAATGACTGGAAATAGTTATTACTCGATGGTCAGTGTAAATATAAATGTCCTGCCACTTGCTTGGGACTCAGTGTAGAACTCACCACCTCATTTGGACCCTTGCCTGGTAGATTCAGTTGAGGTCAAGGATTTCACAGACACGAGGAGTCAGGTGTGAGATCACCGGCTGTGGCCAATATTAAATCTGTCCTGGCACATGGAGCTCTTCTCTCTTCAGGCGTGTCTGCCCACGTCCTTCACGAGCACAGAATTCCTGTGGAAGCAGAAGTGATACCTGCCCTTGAGGGTCCCAAGGAGTGTTCTCTCAGTTTTCCTGCAGTCCACCTGACTGCATGGTGGACTAGCCCAGGATTCCCAGAGTAAATTTACTACTCTGTTTTTCTTGAGGAACTGGCACTGCCATGGAGAAAAATTTGAATCCCACTTTCATTACTTTTACAGCCTGTGGCTGCTTTCCCTTCTGCTCCTTTGATTGTTGACATTGTAATCCTGTTCTGTGGATTTCTCTGGCTTTTGCAGATAATTCCAGCATCGTTCTGCAGTCAGGAGTGCTGCCAGCAAGCAAGGTATTCCAACTTCACAGCACCTTCCACCTCTCACTTCCCAAACGAAGCAGGAGGCTAAATTTCTCTCTTATAAAGAGAACTTAAATATCTACATGGCTGAAAGGCGAGAATTTTCAAAACCAAGCTATGACCAAGGATTATTCACAGAACTTATTCATCAGAAAATATCACCTCATGAATACATTACAAAAATGTTATCTGCTTGAGAACTGTAAACAGAGACAAAAGCAAAATTCTTTGAGGAAGTTACGGATGGCAAATTATTCACCTGGTCCTAGAAAGCTTAATGCTTTTGCCTTTTAATGATGCCATGTAAGGTATGTGCAAAGTGTTAGGCTGGAAGTGGAAAGCACAGACACTGCTGCAAAGAGGTTCCAGAAGGTCTCAGAGAAACATGATGACAAAGCCCAAGGTACCCTCTGCCAGCCAGAAGAAATGGGCTAAAAGCCTCAGAATTGCTGTTCCAAGTGTGTCTCACAGCTCTTGGTGCTGCTCCCCTCGAGGACATGGACCAGGTCCTGGTGTGTTTGGGTTTGGTGCCTTTTTCCAAGGAATGCTAAACATTTCCTCACCTGCCTTGCTTGAGGTAAGGTAATTTTAAATCGCTTTGTTCTCCCTTCATTGCCAGTTGAGATGCATTTGAGCAAATGTGGGTGCTCACCTTAAGGTACAAGAATAAATTGTGTCTGTCTCCATGGGTGACTCAGAGCCCTGTTCAGTGTAAAGGGAATCCTAAGGAATTCTGGCACTGCTGCTCACATTTGCTCAGCAGGGTCCCACCTGGAATCACTTGCACTGAACCATAGAAGGTCTGCAGCACAGAGGGGATTAAATTTAGACATCTTTCTCTCACCTTTAATCATTAAACAAATCCTCAGACGTTTGTGTCTGGAGAAAAGCTTTCCTTTAGCTTCTTTCCTTGTACAGTTTCCTGGGAGTTTTGTGCCTGTGCATGGGCAGGACCAGGCTCTTCTCCTGCTCTGCCTCTGTTTGTCCCTGCTGCAAATCCCCCAGAGAGCTCCTGCACGAGCTCCTGCACGTCCTGTCGCGTTAGTCGTGGCACTGAAGGAGCGAGGAGTAACACATCCCTCCTCCATCCGCAGCTCTGGAGATGTGCTGTTTATGTTTGCAAGGTGGCCGATGTGACTAAAATTAATTTACAAACTCCTGAGATTTTACTCCAGTGCCTCGTGCTGCCAACCTCCCCCATACTCCCTCTGCAGATCCTTGGCTGGAGAGTGTGTGCTGATACCTGTGGGCTACTGGGGAAGTGTCTGAGTAGGATCTGTTGGTGGGCAGGGCACCAGAATCAACATAAACTCTCACTCTACAAAGAAACTGGGAAATGAACAGGGAATGAACAGAAAGAAGTCAGGAGCGTGGATGGGCAGAAAATTCCTTTTAATTTAAAAGAGTACAGAAGTGTGGATGTGCTCAAACTGCCGTGCAGGGGTTTGGTTTGACCTGTGCAGCTTTTCTGCCTCAACTTAATGCTGTATCTCAAGTGCCTGTCTGTGCAGCTCTCTGCTCCCATCCAGACTGCATCCAACCCTGGAAAATCCTGGAATTGCACGAGTGAGGAGAGGAACCTCTGCATGCACATACTTTGCATGTTTTGCAAAATTCCTGCCGAATCTGTGTGTGTGATTAGCTCCCTAGCAAAGGGTGAAGAGGAGAATTTCCTCCTGCAGGTGACTCTTGTGTCTCTGGATTCCTTCTCAGCCTACATGTGCAACTGTAGCTGTGTCACAGACCAGAGAATCAGCTTCAAAATATTGATATTCCAAAATGTTTGGTAAAATGCAGAACTTCAACTGTGTTTAAATAATTAATTTCCATTGTGTACCAACAAGACCAGCGAGAGTGTTTACAGGAGAGGAAGGTTCTTGGACTGAAATGAGTTTCAGGGAACTGCTCTATTGAAACTATCAGGGACAGTGGATTATTTATCATGGTTCTGGCAGACTTCCAAAAACATTGCAAGTTTTTTTTTTTCAAGTTACTGAACTGAAAGAGCTTTGCAAGGATCAGAGAAATGCCTTCCCAAGCATGTGCTTCAGCAGCAGTACTGTTCAGCTTCATGAGTAAGAATGGCTAATGCTCCTAAATACCTCATTACTGCGTCTGCCTCAGATTAGTCAAAGAAAATCATCACTCCTCTTCTGTGTTCAGGCACTGAAAACCTGTGGGTGTATTCCTGGGGTGTACATGTGGGTCTGTGGGTTTGAACCTGGCTGATGCACGCAGGACTCCAAACCTTCTGCAAGGAAACTGGAGAAATCCAGGCTCAGCCATTCCCTTCTCCTGCTGCCTGTCAATCTGAATGGGAGTCTCTCAAATTAACAACCTCTTACTGTCAGCCCTTTTGAATTTATGTCTGCCATGGGCAGGAAAAAAGAAATAGAGGGGAAAAAGAAATAGGCAGGGAAAAGAAATAGAACTAGGTCAAATGGCCCTAGTTCAGAACAGAACCTGTGCTATGAAACACTCCAAGGGTGAGAGGGTCCTGAGTTCCAAACTAAATTTACCAGTTCCCTGATGACAGATTACTCAAACTGCCAAAATGTCACCAGAGGTGACCAGGCACACAATTTTCAGGCATTTCTTTCTGTTCAAAAATATAGGTAAGAAGAGATGAACTTCCATTACATTTCTTTCTCTAGCTCAGTCAATTTTTAGTACTCGTGATACATTCATTGCATGTGAAATAATTATCTTAGTCATAATACTTTTGATTCAAAGACTAATATATTTGGTGTTGCAGCCTTTAAAATGATTTTGACAATATAAAAGAAAAAAATCTATTAGGCAAAAGCCATCATGCATGACTCCTGTAATTGCTGTTACTAAAAGCTGGGGGCATACAGTAGAATTGAAATGATTTACATTTCATTATTTCTGCAAATAAACACAATAAAGGCTTAATCCTGATGTTTCTCATGCAGAGCAACCTCATCCTTTCCAATTTTACCCAGTAAATTAGAACCTGGAGAATTTGTGTTGTTTAAGTAAGCAGGTACCTGGCTTGGAGAATACACCCTTTCCATGAAAAAATTCCTCCTGATGTCCAACCTGAACATCCTTGGAGGCTGTTTTCTCTTCTCCTGTCTCTGGCTGTGATGGCACCAGTAGGCAGTGGATGGGACACCAGGAGATGGGGCAGAGAGCTCCTCTGCAACACCAGTGAAATTTCTGTACAGCCTGTGCTTATTTTCCCTCTGAATTTTCTTGTGTCTGCAAAGCAAAACATTTTCAATAGCAAAACCTGCACATGTTCACTGCTGGAAACCTTCCCTTTGGAAAGCGAATCAGCTGGAGAATAAGTGGTAAAACAGGCCCTGAGAGGCTCAGTGGGACATGCAGATAATTCTGTGTGGAGCACAGTCATTCCTATAATTACAGTCCCAAATCCCAGGGGGAAGTCTCTGAGTGGCCATTTACAGAGGAATTTACCATCTCTGCTGGCACGGGGTGGAACAGTGGCTGAGGAAACTCTGAGGACCCAAACACTGCAGATGCTGATGCAGGCAGTTGGGAGGACAAGATTCCTGCTGTTGGCTGTGCTGCTCATGGGCTGCTGTCCCTACATGGCTGTGCCTGGCAGGTCCATCCAGTGTCCTGCTGTCCCCATGTGATGATACCTGGCAGGTCCATCCAGTGTCCTGCTGTCCCCATGTGATGGTGCCTGGCAGGTCCATCCAGTGTCCTGCTGTCCCCATGTGATGGTGCCTGGCAGGTCCATTGGTGTGTGAGCTTTGCTGGATCACGGGCTTGAAGTTGTGCAGTGCACTTTTGATTTAAAAGACTTTATGAGTGGTTGAAGCTCTGTAGGGAAAAAGCAAACAAACAAACCAACCAGAAATATCTGGCAGTGGTAAGCCAGGAATCTGGGTGGGAAAGTGCAGTCTGGCTCTAGGGAAGGAGCTTTTCACCATCCAGCGCCACTCTGCTTCCCAGGGCTCACTGCAATTCCACATCTTTTTACATGAGCATGGAGTGACAGAACAGGGGAATGGCTTCAAAGTGACATAGAGGATGTTTAGATTGGATACTGGGGAAGAGTTCTTCCCTGTGAGGGTGGTGAGGCCCTGGCACAGGTTGCCCAGAGAAGCTGTGGCTGCCCCATCCCTGGAAGTGTTCAAGGCCATTCCATGATTCCACGGTCTCTAATGACAATTTAGGGCAATCTCTTTAACCTGGAGCCACACTGTGGGGGTTTTGCTCTCTGGGAGCAAGGCCATGTTTTTCTGTGGAGCCTCACAGGGTGGTTTTGCATCCCGTGGAAGGAATGACCTCGGGGTAGGTGGAATAGGGTGAGCTCTGCCCAGTCAAAATAATAAAGGAACTAGTTAATTTTTAGGTGTATGTAGCTCTGAAATAAATGCTTTTGACTCTGCTTCTAAAAATTCCCTTTGGGTTACTCTCTTTTTTTTGGTTTTTTTTTTTTAAAGTATACAGCACCATAACACTGTTTGCTTTCTAAATTGATAATTACATCTCCTATGCACTTTCATGGCTATATGGTGAACCTTAACATCTCTATTGCTAAATTCAGATTGTTCATATCATCTTATTATGATTCAATAGCTGCTGGAATTATTATCAGTTAATAAAAGAAAATGCAGTGGAGTCCAGGCAAGATATCTCATGGAGAGATTTAGTTTTCTTAGCCTGTGAAAAAGTCAATGTAGATAAATTCGAAGTTAAACCAATGCGTGATTCTTCTAATTCAGAAATGGAACCTCATATACAAGAAGCAAGACATGCATAATACAGTTATTATACCTAATTATTGTTCAGCTGTATGTCTTGCTTAGAGCAAAATTGCCACAAAATGTAGACCAGCTTTCTGCTTAATAAGATTCTTTTCCTTCTTATTAAGTTTATGAAATATTACTCTAAAAATAATTCTTGTAGAAATCATAAGAGTAAAATCAGGTTCTTCATTGGTGGGTTACTGTGCATTAGTCATTCATATTTACTGAACTTCTGAAGCTCATGGATTTCTCTAAAAATAAATATTGTTTTTTTGGACATTTCCAGTTTGGTTATAATTTTGCCTGGCTCCAGTTCCTGACAGGAACCCTTCAGCTGCACACCTTTGGAGTTTGGTCATGGCAACTTTCTGCTTGTTGTTCCCATTGAAATTCCTGTCAAAACTCCCTCAGATCCACGAAAAATTGGGCTGACAGATAAATCCTGAACAACATCTCGCATAGACTCTGAGGCTCTTTTGTATCCCTTGCTCTGTACGTCTTGTAGCATTCAGAGCTTTTGCTCATCTTTTGGCACAATGTGGGTAGAGTGGAAGTTCACAGATGATCATGGTTCTTTCTTTCTTGGCCAGGATTTTGGCTTCAAATTTTGAGCATCGTGTGGTTTCATTAGCACTGAGTTCTGTTTGTCCTCAGCCCCACTGCTGGGGCTCCTGGAGGCTGCCACAAAAAAAAATAAAGAAGAGTAATTTTCCAACATGAGCCCAATAAATCTGTCCTTTTTGCCATTTCTGTGTTTAATCTGGCAAAGAAGGGGACGTGGGGTGTGTGTGCACTGAACAGCTGACTCCTCTGTTGGATCTTGTGGCTGTTGGGAATTGAAGAACAATGTTAGCATTTGTTATTCCTCTCATAAAATAGTGAAACCAGCACTGTCTTGACAAATTTGTTGAAATAACTCACAAATGGGTAGTTCCCCTGGAGGAACAAATACAGCTTAAGGTCACTCCCCTCCCCTGTATCTGCAGGAGTTCTAGGACTACAGAAGGTAAAGGTTTATTTTATTTTATACAAATACAAGAAAAATCTCCATATTTTCAGTCTCTGTATAATCTCTGCAATGTGATGTCATTATTATATCAAGGTCTGATTGCATTGCTGATCAAATCTTAGTTTAGCAGTTGGTGGACTGATAAAGAGATATTAATGAGTTCTTGGCCATTACTCTTTTTCTGTCAGACAGTCAAATAAAGTGCAGTGGACCAGTTTAATTGGAAAATGGGCACTGGAACATCAGCTCAGTGTGTGGTGGAGAGATACCATCTCCTGTATTTCGGTAAGTGACTTAACTGTGCTCTTGTGGAAAGTGTTTCATGTCCAGGGGAGGTAGAAAGGGATGTAATTGCAGTGAGGGATTTTCTAAAATTGCTTCACTGGGGATAGTTTGGAGTCACTTAGGTAGTTCTGCAATTTGTAGTGTAGAGTGTATAAAATTACTTTAATAATTAATTCAGTCAGTTGTTTTAATGGATATACTTCTGGGTGTTTTGTACTCAATTCCGGTTGCACTTGTTTTGCAGTCTCATTATTCTTGGTTTATGGCTTTACAGCCATCAGTACCTGAGGAAATTGGACTGGTTATGTCACTGTTGTCCAGTCTCTCTCTACACCACCATAGACACAACCAAGAAGGAAAAGGGATAAATTAGCTCAAGTTGCACCGGTATTTCTGTAAGAATTTCCCAGGCTGACATAGTTAAAGCCAGACAAACAGCATGTGAAGAGTCAGTTTCTAGAATTACTTTCTTTTGGAATACAGTGGAGGTGAAACCCTGAAGCTGATTATCTCCAGCAAAGGGAAGCTTAGGATTGTTTTTTCTCATCTTTGGCATTTTGTTAAACTCATCTGCCAAAACAAACACAAGAAGAAAGTCACAGGATGTCCATGGCTTTCCGAACACCGCAAGCTGATGGGCTGGTTGGGTCCAGTTCTCTTCAAGGGTCTGGTATAAATCCTGTTTGCCTTGTTTATATGAAGACAAGCCCTTCTAAGGCAGCAATAAGGTTATATTTGGGCTATAGCCCTTTATGGAGCAGAGCTGTACTCTGAGGCCAAAAGGAGCAGGTTATGTTTGCAGCTGTGGAGCTCAGAACACTCCAGGGGACTCAGTGGAGCCTGTTTCTGGCTAATGGGGATTTGTTCAACTAATACATCAGCAGTTTTCAAGTGGTGTCTGCACTGGGCTGCCCTGACATCCTGAGACTTTCCCATTATTGAGCAAAGAGAAATCTCCTCTGGCTCCTGCACAGCTGTCCCTCTGTCCCTCCTGGGGCCAGAGCAGGGGTTGGCTGCTCCGTGTCCTTCGCTGACCCTCACTGAGGTGGGAGGGACAATGTTGTCCCTCCTGGGAGCTCGGTGGAGCAGGACTACTCTGCTTCCAGGGATCAGCCAAGCTCATCTGCACTGAGACACTGACACCCTGCCCAGAGATGGGTTTGTAGATCAAATTTCAGTGGTGGAATTGTACAGTTGACAAATGCTTGTCGTTATGGGCTTGTGGTCTGTTAGAAGGAGGTTGAGTACACACTGATTTTATTTTTAATTACAGGAATTACAGTTGGTCTTTTCCTCTCTAGCTGGAAGTAACACCACTTAGTCAGTGACCTGGAGACACATCCAATTAGCTCTTCTCTGAAAGCCACCACATAATGACTTGTTAAAACTTCCCTAACAAACTTCCCTCTCTGATGCTGTACTGTGGGCAGGAATAATTATTTGCTGCAGTCAGAGTATGACTTCGTTCTGAGTACATGGGTGAATTTTCCAGTTCCTGGGTAATGCTTCTGGATCCTGCTGTGAGCAACAGCTATTCTTTAAGAGCTGATGCAATGGTTTTATCTGCACATAGAGCTGCATAATGCACTATGAGGGGCCTGTCCAGTCCTCTCTGGAAGAGCAGAATTCCTTCCTTGTTCATCCCACAGCCCACTCCTACCTGCTCTGTTGCCTCCAGGCTTTGACACTCACCCTCCAGTGATACTGTAATCTTGCAGCATTCTGCCATGGATGCTCATTCTTGCTACTTTGGGCAGAAAAACTTTCCAGTTGTTTTCCACGCTGTCTGGAGTTCCATCTCCTGATGATATTCCAGAGGAAGCTCTGTTATATTCTCTCTGAGTGCTCCTATGGAAGATTTCTTACCACTCTCCTCTAGCATACCTTCTTAGTGTGCTGCCATGGGCACACTTTATTGTGTTTTCAACCAACTCCTAATACCTCTGAAAATCCCCGCCAGAAAACAACTCTTATTTCAAGGGACCCATCACATCAGTCCCAGAGTTACCTGCACCCCTCTTGAAAATGGAATTGTCTTATTGTTTGCATCATTTCCATACTAAAATGAAGACATCAAGACTGAGTCTTTAGTCATGGCACATTTGAAGTTTCCAGCAGGAGTAATTTGTTTGTACCCATCACTGCCAGTCCTTTCTCAGTGCAGTGTACGCCTGGAGTTTGGCAGGTATAAATGAAACCTCTAGAGTGATGCAGTTACTCCCTGCTGTGACTCAGAACAAGGTTTTCATCAAGCTGAAAGTCTAATCAGTTATGACAAAGGTGGCAGGATGCCAGAGGATAATCCATTGAGCAGACATGAAACACCACGTGATGTTTGGAGCAGAGCTGAGCAACTCCATGGCCAAGCAGCCTGTGGTGTCTCTCTGGTGCTGCTGTCCCAGGAGAGAGTGTGCAAGGCACATTGCCAGGGTCCTGAGCAGCACATGGGCAGAGTTCTTTGTCCTGAGGCAATCCTTGGATCCTCTCCTGAACTCCCGTGTCTCTGGGTTAGACGTGGAATGAACAGTATCCTCATGGCACTCCCAGTCATTGGTTGTAATCACAGCAGCTGCCCTGGGCAAGTCCCGGGGGCAGGAGTTGCTCCAGCTGTGCCATACAACATCCTAAGGCCCAAATTCTGCAAAATGTTACATTACATCTTAGGGCTAAGTGAGGTAAATCGCAAAACACACTTGGGGAAATAAATGTTGGACCAAATTCTCCCCAAGTTCAGAATATCTGGGGTTGATTCTGGTCTTACTGGCCCATAGAGTTAGTTTTTAATATGCCTGTGGCCCTTTCTGTTTAAGCAGAATAAATATAACAGAATAAGGTTCACTTTAAATTTACTTAATCCAATACTTTCCTGACTAAACCTCTTGGAAGATGTAGGGTTTACTCCAGGAAGAATTTGGCCCACATGACAATCAGTGTCTGGGATAACAGTTGCTATCTAAAGAAGAAAAGGTAAATTTACCTACAGAAGGAAGGGAAACAAAGGAAATATTTATCCACAGCAGTGCTGCTATAGAGACCAGGGACATTTCAAGCAGCAGTAATAAAGAGAGATGTGTGGTGAATTATCTCTGCTTGGTTCTGTCATTGTTGGGCTCGTTACCATCACTACCTGCTGCACTGGTTCTGAACAACAGCTCCACCACTATTTCTTTGGAGATTTATACTTACAAAAACCTCTAAATTTGTGGAACTGGAAGATTTCATTTTACTTTGACAATGAGGTTCTAGCCTTTAGAAAATAGCTTTTCAGTCTCCTTCCCAGACTCCAAATTAAAAGAATAATTTATCACGGAAAAGTACAAAAATGGGCTTAAGGAGAATGAAAGTAACATTTATTTTTCTCTGCATAAAAAGGTACCTCAGAAGTTGAAAGTAAAACATGCAGATGAAGGGGCTGATTGAGGCCCCACTGCAGATTACGCACATTCTGGGCAATCTTTGCTCATTTGGTGACGTAGAAGGTAAACTGAAAATAAAACAAATACGGTTCAGATTTTTAAGTAGGCTTCCAGAAATCTTTCAGTGAATTCTGTTTTGTCCCATTTTAGAGCTTGTCAACACCTCTGGGTCCAGAGCAGCAAACCTCCAGTGTCCTGCATTGCACACACAGCCTTGGTGCTGCAGGGTGAGACACTTCTCAAAACAGCTCCTGTTTGACACTGGTGCCCAGAAACACAACCAGGAGGGGTTTGATGTGCTGGTTCACATCTCACCTGAAATGGAAATAGAGAGTGGCCATTCCTGGTGCCCTTGTCCAGCACAGCTCCAAGGGCTACAGGTAAGTGCCACGCAAAGCCCTGGTTTCAGATGTTTTGCTGAACAGGTATGAAGTGTCAGGAGCAAATTTTTCCTCTTTTTCTTTCCTTTTTGCTTGGGATCACTTGGATAAAAATGAGAGTCAAGTGACTGTGTCACTAAGTTCTTTATGTATGGGAAATGGATGTGTCCAGGACTATTACTGTAAAAAGCTTCTCCCTACTCTTAGTAGTTACTGAGGCTATGTGTAATTGGGGAGCTATTAGCTTGAGAAATGATCTGGAAAGGATTAATAATGAATATAAAACTGGAATGTTGAAGGGCATCAAGTGTTCTCCAGGGAAGAGAATATGCTCAACATTTTAATTCTGTGATCCTGGAGGCAGTGGGGTATTTGCACATTGGGAATCAGGTGGGAGTGTTACCCACTGGGGTGGTTTGCATGTCTGAAACTGAGAAAAATATTCTGAAACATTTTATAGGCAGCTGTGAATTATTAATTGGGCTATTACTGTCATTGTTTCAGTTGAGTTCTTTAGTCTGGGTTCAAAAGCCCATGGTCTGTTCTCAGGAGTGACCCTTGGTGATGTGAGGGACAGTCCAGTGCAGCTCTCACTGAGCCTTCCTCTTCCTCACTGCTGAGGGCTGGCCATCTCCCTCAGGTCATCATCTCCTTTTTGCTCCTTACACTGGTTTTTCCAGCTTTTCCTGAGATGTGTGTGTGTTATTGTACTTGCTTTAATAGCGACGAGCAAATCAATATTAAATCAGGTGCCATATTTTTTGGCCAGCAACAAAATTGAAGAATAGTTTATCAGCCATTCTGAAAGCCATATTTGGAGAATAGAACAATAGTGGATCAAGTCAGCTTTCCTCTTAACATTAGGGTAATTACTTGAGTGTAATTTTATATATAATGTAATTGGTAGATGCCTCAGAACATTCCAGTGTGTGTCTGTCTGCATCTTTCAGGGCCTAAATACCTTAAAATTACTGACTATGTGGAATGAAGTCACTTTGGAAATGGAATTTATAGTTCTACATTAATTAGCTATATTAGAAATTTTTACCTTGTGGGTGACTGGCAGATTTACATTGGGAATATTAGTGGCTTAATGAAATGAGTATTAGTGGGTTATTGAAAATACAGGATGTTCTTCAGTTCTGGAATGATGTCACAGCAGTGTTGGACAACCCAGGTAAAAAATAACCTGCTCTTTATATGCATGTGTACATTTATCTGGCAGTATCACTTGTAGCATGAGTTAAAAAATGTGCCTAAAAAGGGGTTATTACCCAGTGTAATCTGAAGTAATGTCAGTATAAATCATTGTAGTTCCTTGGGCTCAGTGAGAGGTCCCTCAACTCCTCCCTGTTCATAATTCTCTGTTTTAATACTTAATTTTGCTTTCTATAAATGTTTCTTGTCTTTTGACCTGTGCCAGAGGGGGCCAAGTTAAATGTAGGGTAATTTCTTCCTCCCATAAATGGGCACACATGGAAAATTTTGGATGCTTTATTATCCAGTTGTAGCTTGTGCTTTCTTTGGTTTACTCTGGGTTCTTGGCATGTTTTATAGCAGCGTCTGGAAAATCAATTTTTCTTTTCCCAGCTACAAAGCAGTACATGTGTTCTTAAACAAAATCCTGTCATTCTGACCAACATCTTCAGTTTTTCTTCCCCAGTGTTGTCGTGAAATCTACTTCAGCCCCATATATATTGCTCTTTAATTTCAGTGCTGCTTTTAGTGGTCACACTTAGTTTAAGAATGCTGTCAAAAAAGTGATTATACAAAAGGGCTACATGTGTGTTCAGAGTTTTTCCAAAAGGGGTTGTTGTATATTAATTGTGCTTTCTAAACTGTAGAACTTCACTGGTTTCTTTCTTCTATCCTCCTTGTTTATTATATATCTTCTTGTTTAAGGAAGTTAGATGGATTAGTGATGAGAGTCACAGTTTAAATACTTCTCAGAGGGGATTTAAGGGAGGAAAAACCCCTAAAAATGTTGTATTTCTGGTTCCATGGGATCCAGATGTGCAGTTCTCTGTCTCCGTGGCCCATGGATGTTGTCCTATGTCTGTGAGAGGATCCAGGGAAGTCCAGCTGTCTTCTCCATCAGGAGTGGATGTTAATGTGGGTTGTCTGGGTGAATGGAGGGCTCTGTCTAGATTGGTTGTTATTGGCACAATCCTGGATTCCTTTAAAGTTCACACTCCCATTGGTCTCCTCGGAGCTGTGGGCTCAGAAACAGAAAAGGCAGCTCAGGGTCAGGGAGTGTGGAGTTTGTCTGCCTTGCAAAGATTGATGGTCCTCTCGGGGCCCAGAGCAGCAGTGAGTAATGCCCCTCATCCCAGGCTGCTGAAACGCTCCTGCTGGAGCTTTATCCATCCATCTCGATAAAGAGCTGTGCAGAGCAGAGCCCAGCCCGAGCTCTGCTGCCCAGCACGAGCTGGAGCCGAGCCACGTTCCCCCTGCACAGCCCACAAACACAGCCCAGCCCCGAGCTGCTGCAGGGGGAGCAGGTCTGGGGGAGCTCAGGAATGTGGACAGCAGCACCGAGCTCTGTCCTGTGCTTCTCATCACTCCTCGGCCTCAGGGAAGAGCATTGAGCTCCATCCTGGCCATGGGGACCTTGGGGAGAGGCTGGTGACAGCCAGAGGAGCCCTGCTCGAGGCTGTGGCAGGAGGGGTGAGCTCAGCAGGGCAGGAGAGAGCAGGTTCTCCTTTCCTGCGGCAGGACCTGGTGTCTTGAGCTCATTAAAGCCTCTGAATGTTCATTAATGTAGGTGGGACAGTTCTGTCCCCACTGCTGGGTGGATGATGTCATCTCAGGGTCAATTAATCAGTCCCTGTGTAGGCAGAGCATATGCTTGACTGTATCTGGTGGAACAGAATTTAATTACTGGATTAAGAGGTTTTTTTAACACTGAAAATTATCATCAGAGTTCTCATTTTAAATAACGGGTCTGTGGAATTAATTTCTTGTTTACAGTATTGTCTTGTAAATGAAGTTTTGATCTTTATGCTGATGAGCTGATACCCCACAAAGCCTCGAAGAAGGGAGATAATGAAAGGTGCTGTCAAATGATAGTGTCAGTGCTTAAGGTTAAACGGATCTCCTTCAAGATGCAGAGATTCTCTGCTCTTCTGGGAATACTGAAAAATGCTGGTGTTCTGTAACGTTTTGGTAACTCTACAACTTTGTTGCCATTCATAGAGGGCTGGAAAACAAAAGCAAATAATTTCAAATGTTTAGCACCTCACATGTACATTATCTTCCCTAAAGGAAGGAGCCTCCCAGTGCCTGGTGTGAAGGGGCATCAGCAGGGCTGGGAGGTGCTGACAAGAAACAGATCTGGGTGTTCGAGTCTGTGCAGGAGAGCCCTGGGAAAAACTTGGGATAAAAATGGTCCTCACCTGTAGGAAAAGGGTGAAGATAACACACCCCAACGTGAAGCATATTCATCTGATTTAAAAGCAGAAATTTGAAAACATATTTTTGTAATAGGACTGTCTTATATTTTTCTTTAGACCTTTAAGATAACCTTAAAAAACAAATTCTGGATGAGAATAGGGTATTGGTAAATGAACTCCTAGCAGGGCTATGGGCTGTCTCAATAATCCTCAGATTATTTTGGGGGATAGTTAAATATGTTCCTGTTAAAAAGGACTTAAAGTTGTCTTGCTCTTCAGAATATGTTGATTTCCCTTTAAAAATCGGCACTTTATTTCTGCACCTATTGGTAACACCTGTGACCGTGCAGGGGTATTTAACCGGGAGTTCCTGGGCAGGTGAGAGCAATATCTTGTGTGGGGGACATGTGCTCTTCCCATCTCCCTGTTTTCACTTTTAGTTCCCTTCTGCTTTTCTTTCCCAAAAAAATCACAGCACTACTTTCTTCCATACCATGTGTTGATCTCACTTAGCTGATTTTGTTTGTTTGGTTGGGGTTTTTTTGTTTGTTTTCTTTTTAACTCCAGTAACACTTAAAATTCAGGTCAAACCTTGGGGCTCTGAAATGCCTGGGATGGAGCACATTCAGCCATCAATTTTTAGTGCCTGGTATAAGAAGAGACTGAATAGACCAGACTGAAACATAAACTGCTTGTTGATGCAGAGCTGAGCCTGTGAGATTAACTGAGAAGGACATCACAGAGCAGGTAAGGGGGTTTAAAATTCAAGTCTGAACTGTGACTTTTTCTTGTGCTGCCAAACTCTCTCCTTTTGCATAACCTTGGTCCCAGAGATGTGAGGACAGAGAAAGACTTTGCAGGTTTGTTGCTGATATAAAGGAAGGACTTAACTGGTACAGTAATATGTGTGGAGTATCTGTAATGTGGGAGTGCAGGGCTCCACTGCTGGAAAATGGGTACTTTGAGGTCAGTAGTTTTCTTACCAAGCTCTGCTGTGGAACAGGTAAAAGAGCAATTCTCCTGTGGCTGGAACCTGGTTCCAGTGGAGTTAAAGTTGTTATTGACTTCAGTGGAGTCAGAAACTCTCCCTGAATCCCTCTGGTCCAGAAGCCAGACAGGGAGGGCAAAACCACTGCTGATGATAACAGAGCTTTTAACTCCCTTTGTCTGTGCAGACCTTAGTCCTGCAGATAAGTACTGTCAATGAGGGTGGTATTAGTACATAATGCAATTTATCACTGCTTGTCTCTCTTTATAAGAGCTCTTCATCTTGTTACCAGGCATTCAGTGCTATTAGAACCAAACATGGAAACCCAGTGCAGCTGATCTTTTCTGGCCAAGCTTATTTGAAATTATACTGACATGAGAGTTTTGATGACTTGAGGAGATTTATTTATAGCTCTTGTGATGTACTTGCAGCAGGGTTCAGGGTTTTGAAACCCTGAGGGGCCTTGATCTTGTCGCTGAGAAACACCCATCACTCAGAGGTGAAACTGGGTGACCTGCCCTGGGAAGTTGGTGGCAACATTCCTGCTGCCAAACCTGCTCCTTGTGCAGTGTAATGTTGGGTGGCCTGGGGGAGTTTTTCGGCTTTTCTCTTCGCAAGAG